TACACAAAGCACTGTTTCTCAACCATACTGTTTTCCACACTTCCTGGTAATTGGAAATATGTATACATTAGTATTATTTTAGAAGAACTACGCTATACGGACTCACCGTGAATCAACGCCGCCCGCCGTCTGCACGCGCCGTCACGACGTCCACTCTCCAGGCCGACGGTCCGTGTCATCCCATCCACGTGAGTATCACTCTCCAGGCCGACGGTCATGATGATTCTGAGGAAGGGGGCTTGCCCCTGAAACGCGTCAATCTTGGCTGACTGCGGTCGGTGGACGGTGATGTGACCGGAGACTACCGTGTTACATGGTCGGGGATATCATTTGTTGTTAAAGCCTGATGAAAACGTTTGTTTGTGAGTACTTTTATCCCTTGTTTTATTTATTGTAATAAACGATTTTACACACCGAGGTGGCGCTCTGTTCCCTTTTGTTTTCTATATTCGTGGTGGAAGCCCCAGAGGCTTGGATGAGCAGCCCCTCAGGTCTGTGTAAAAAAACTGTGATAAACTGTTGAAAACTTTGAGTGTGCAACAGCAAGTGGATTGTTCAGCTGGCAGCCATTAGCGCCAAGAGCTAAAGAAAACTTTTTGTCTGATATTGCATTGATTTGAGCTACTTTAAAATTCCAAGTCTATGCGCATGAGGCCTTAGACTTTTTCTGTTTGTTTTTCGCTCACAACGCTATGTAAATTCACAGGAAGCATAGACTTCAGCTCCCCTTTTAACCAGTGGGTAATGAGTTAATATATTAAACTGTATGGTGTATGTGAAAGTGTGTAGGGTTAAAATGCAAAATCATATATTGAATTTCCATGAGCTCTAGCCTGACTACTCCCCACCAGCGTAACATACATGTGCGTCAGCACAACGGTTAGGCTTTACGTCCGGCTCCACACATACATGTGACTTGGTGGCCGGCTGTTCTATTCTGAGAGCACTTCACTAGTGCGCTCCCTGCACAGACCCTGACAACTCCCAGTCACCGTTTATGATCTGAAACCTTTGGGACTGGCTCACAATCATGTGACTGCTGTGTCAGCTAATCACAGTGATCACATGATCAAGAGGCCCGCCTCTGTCTCCTGTCATTTAGAACCCCTTAAAATTTGTAAAATTACTCTTTAAAGAATGCCACATGATTTACTTCCTTTAATGCAGTAACACATATTCACTATGCCGTGTGAACAGTGGCGTAACAACCGGGGGTGCAGCAGGGGCGCGGGCCCTAAAAAATGTCTGCCCCGGGCGCCCAGAACTCTGGTTATGCCACTGCTTCTGAATATGCAGTGCTGTGTCATCCATTACACAAGAACTACACAGTCAATACAAAAATGCCCCACATAGGACATCATCACTGCTTGCATGCAGCAATGTATTATGGGATATTTAGTCCTTAGAGGTTGAAAGTAAACCACGTGCAGGGAATCCAGGGAGTTGCTGAAAGAGATTTCCAGCAGATAGGAAGCACTCAGAACATGAAAGCAGATTTTTCCAGTAAGCTTATATTGGATTGTCAAAATAACTATTGTTTGTATCGATATTTTATGAAATGAAGTATGTGCTGTTACTGTAGATCTCCTTTTGCGTTGGTTCACACCAGCAAGTTGCAATTAATGCACTGCCTGAAGAGTGCCTTGGCGAGAATCAATGTTTGATGTGCCAATCCTGGAGCATCGCAGTGTCTCCTTTTTTTCAGAGAACCTTAATGAAATATCCTAAGTGATGTTTCATTCAGTTCTAACAGCCACAGCATGGTGCAATGCAGTTGTACTACATGCAGTACTTCTTTTCAGTGCACACCAATGCAGTGCAGCGGTGTGAACTACGCTGATTGTAAACAAGGCAATTTGCCTTATCTTTGTCTTTGGAAAAGGCTTACAGTGCAGCCCTAACGCATCTGGTGTGAACACGCCCTTAAGGAGAGCATTCAGTATAGCAAGAAAACCTACAAAAATAAATCCAGTTGGCCTAAAGAACCAGCACCAAAGTTTACAACCAACCAATGCGCAGTTCAACGTGTTTTATATAAGCTCACTCCATGGGTTCGGGTGCATGGGAGTCAAGTTTTTGAGCAGTTAAAATGACAGGTTGCAGGATGCACCTGTTATTTCAAGAGCTATTAGGATTTACCCAGTGCCAATACTTTCTGTTCTTGACAACGCACAGGTCAGTGTGAATCATACATAGATAAAAGCTTCAACCTCCTTATCTTTTCTTTCCTTTGAAGTCATTGTAAGCACAATGTCTATTTGAATTTGTATAGACTATATTTAGGCATCCTGGATTTTTTAAAAAGATTGTGTTACTAATATAAGTTTTTTTTAAGGTGTCTATGATATGTACCCAACAATTATACCTTTTCTAATACTAGTTCTTAAAGTGTATTTAAAGTTAATTTTTTTTGGTGTTTTGCTATTTTTGTTTTAGTTTTTGATGTGTGTAAGGCTTAGAGCCCTTATTGGGTTTTTATAGTTGTCTGTGTTCCCATTAAATGAGAACTATAGGGTTAGGACTTTTCCCCATAGTTCTCCTAAGGGTAACGGGAGGACACAAACTAGCGTTCTCCCGTCACCCAAAGCTCAGTATACTGCGAGCACTGAGACGCCGCAGCCGGAACAGATCCCGACAATTCTGTCTGGATCCACCCAGCTGCGTGAGTGACAGCTGGCTCTGCATATCTAGAGGCAGAGCCAGCTGTACCCGCCCCCTCCCCGTCCGTTCCGCCAGTCAGCGCTGGAGGATCGGACAGGGGAGGGGGGGAATCCCTGCAGGGAGCCGTGAGTGACAGTCACGGCTCTCTGCACGGATAGATCGAGAAGTGAGCGAGCGCCGGTATGTGTTCGCTCACTTCCCGATCTACTGAGCCGACCTGTGACAGTTTCATTGTCACAGGTCGGCTCAGAGTTTGAGGCTGAGTGAAAATCACTTGCATCATAATTCTCCTTTAAGGAGATTGGTGTCTGGGCCAGATATTTGTTATTGCATGAAATATCTGGCATATGGAAACCTTCTTTTTTTACTAATTTCCCAGAGCTGGCCTTTAAAATTGGCAATGTAAAATTCAGTCTAAGAAATGTTTACTATATTCTGCCCAGCCTCATTTTAGTTGTACACAGTTTTGTGAAATCTGTGTGGGCTTTAAGAGTTAAATAATTTTGTTTGTTTTGCTTTTAAAAATCAGTATTGTTTGAGTAATACTACCTCCCTGTTGGCGCATATGTACGGGAAAAATAAAATGCCATTGTTTAATAAAAAAATATAATGGAAGATTCACGTAAGGATCAATATGCTGTCTCTGTTCTTTTTAACACAATTTATTTATAACTGCATCTTGTAAATAAAGCATCAGGAGCAGAATCTGCTTGTTCTGGCTCCTCTTGAGAGAGCTAATTGCCACTGATCTTTTTAAGGCAGCCATGCAATGCTGAAACTTCAATTTGGATTACAGGAGGAGGATGTTTTGGCTGGAGTTCATTATGCTGATACATTTGCTGTTACTTTAAAGTGTATAGGACGGGCTTTTTTCTATGGATTGTTGGGAAAGAAGTATTAATTCTATTTTTTTTCTATAGACATGAGATTTTTCTATATAGTTTTTTTTCTTCTCTTCAGTCTTCAGATTCAGTCTTTTACAAATGTAACATTCTTGGTTTAGAGCAGAGTTTAGTGTTTAGCAAAACACGGTTGTGGGTTGATTGGACATTGTTTTCCATTTTCTCCAATATAAAAAAAAAAAGGAATTCTTCATTAAATATAGGCCAACCTGTAAAGGATCCCTGTGTAGACTATACAATTGGGACGTAGGGCAATAACAGTGGAAAAACAGGCCAGTGTGGTGTCAAGCAAAACTTAATTTGCAATTGACTGCTGTTAGCATACACAGTCTATAACACACAAGAAGGAACTCACCTACCTGGCCGGCCCAGATGCACAGAAGATACTGCTTGGAGGGGAATGATAATCTCATTAAGCTGGGTTTCCATAAGATTCATTGCTTGAAGTGAAGGTCCAGCCAAAACTGTTCTTCTTAGTTTTGGAAAAGCAATACCCATGTCATGTTTTAGTGCTATCCAGAGCTCCATTAGATTCACCCTCACTTCCTGTCCTGCTGGCAGTGTTTTTCCAGACAGGAAGCAAGGCATACCTCCCAAATGTCCTTTGTTTGGAGGGACTGTTACTCATCTGGAACCAAATCCCTCTGTCCTTCTTTACTCCTCCGTTTTTCCTCTCTTTATGGTCAGATATCTGTGAAAAGGTTCTATTTAACTACCAAAAGTGTTATCCTGCACTAAATCTTCATCCTATCTCTTACTTTTCTGGTTTACTCTTTCAAAAAGTAGGTATAAATGAAAAGTAATGGTGGAAAACAACAAATCTGAGTTAACCAATCATTTTTGGCATAAAAATTCGTAATGGTCTACATAACTCAGGGAGTGGGGCAGGGATGGCTAGGCATAACTGGCAGGGATGTGTCCTTTGCCTAAATACATTGTGCTGGAAGGTGTCTCTCTTCTAATCTCAGAAAGTTGGGAGGTATGGCAAAGGGTACTCTTTAACAACACCAGAGATATAAAAATGCTTTTCCTTAGTAGAGTAGGCGAAGGCTAGAACCCCTGTTAGGTTTTTATTTCTGTCTGTGCCCCTGTTGCAGATTTCCCTTACTTTTGGCCTGGTGAAACCGCTGTCAATAGGCAGGAAGTGAGTGAAAATCGCTCTAATGGGGCCCAGGATAGCAGGATTTGGCTTGACATTAACTTTAACTTAGTGGGAGAGAATGTCATTCATGATGCAAAACAAAAAAAATCCTGACCCCAACATTGATAGTTCAGTAAAAACAGTATAGTATAGTAGGTGTTTCATTTCAATACTATTTCAGTATGGTCATTTTGGTGTTTATGCTTATGGTATTGATCTGTTTGCCATCACAAAATCCTCTGTCATAGTCCTGTTTCTTATTAGAGCCTAACATTTTTTTTTTTTGGTTCTTTCAGGGTAATCCATACATGTGCAACAATGAATGTGATGCCAGCACAAAAGAACTTGCACACCCTCCTGAACTTATGTTTGATTCTGAGGGCAGAAATCCCAGCACCTTTTGGCAATCTGTGACTTGGAAGAACTACCCTGCTCCTTTACAGATCAATGTTACATTGTCCTGGGGCAAGACCATAGAACTCACCCAAAACATTGCCATTACCTTTGAGTCCGGCCGACCTGAGAAAATGATCTTGGAAAAATCTCTGGACTATGGGTTAACGTGGCAGCCTTACCAGTTTTACGCTGCTGATTGCCTGGATGCATTTAGGATGGAGCCCAAATCTGTGAAAGACTTGTCTGCAAGTACCGTCCTAGACATAATATGTACAGAGGAGTATTCAACTGGATACGCTGCACATACCAAAACCATATCATTTGAGATTAAAGATCGTTTTGCAATATTCGCTGGACCCCGGTTGCATAACATGGCATCATTATACAGCCAACTGGACACCACGAAAAACCTGCGAGATTTCTTCACGGTGACAGACTTAAGGATTAGGCTTCTTAAACCTGCCACAGGAGCCACTTTTGTTGATGAAACAAAACTGGGGAGATACTTCTATGCGATATCTGATATCAAGATCCATGGGAGGTAGGACAATATGTGTTAAAATAAATTTGGTACCTTTATGATTTCTTTATGATAATTGTTACTAGCATTATAATCTAAATTCTGTCAAGTTATCACATCAAGCAACTTTTAAACTGCTGAGTTAAATATTATCTTTTAGAATTTTCTTTTCAGCAAGACTAAGAAACATTTGACTTACCATCTGTAGGTAGTGTGTTTGCCAACTTTTTTTTACCCAGTAACAGGAACTACCAGGAACTCCTGGAATGCATTTCTTAATTTTAAAGGCAATTAAAATTAATGGAATCTATGACCTTAGTGTTTAAGAAATTTGGCAATTATGTACTCTGTGGTAGATGTTATATGTACAGTGCTGTGGAAAGCTATTTACTTCTCCTCTCTTGCTGTTAACAGTTTAAGTATCTGAAAAATTATACTGAACAGAAATGGCCCAAATCACGCCTGGTTAAAATTAACAACTGACTTAGCACTTTAATTAAGGTAGATCAACACTTCTGTTGCATAAGCGATTATATATGAAGTGCGTAGTGTTCTTAGTATATCTGCCAATACTAAAGTGGTTTTCAAAGAATTGAATAGGCATCCTGAACTCTATTGACATGTGAGTGGGGGACAATAGTCTACTCCCAAGCAGCTACATACAGTGGTAATGTGTCTACCCCCTCAAATCTTTCCTGTATCAATAACCTCCAACAAAAGGAGACAAAAACAACTGCTCACTTGCTAGCAACTTTTTTTTATTAAGGGTACTTATTTTGCTTGTGACTTTTTAAAATATAGTTCCATGCCAAGAAAATAATGGAACATATCTAATTGTAAAATACAAAGGGGAACCCAGGACTGGAACTGTTGCTTTTGTGGTGGATTTCAGAGGATGAGAACCGATGAACAAGTGGTGTTCATCAGTATTTACTGCTTTCCTTTACAGGTAACAGGTGTCCTAATCATTTGTTTGCGACCAGGAAGCTTTAAAACACCAACTAATTGCAGAAATTCACCTTCTGTTCGTTATGGTGATAAAATGTATTACAATAGATATTCTAGACTTTCTCTTAAAACCCAATCACTAAGATCTACTGGAAGCTATAATGCAATTTCAACAATTGTTTTTAATCTTTTTGCATTTTCAGCTTTAAATAAAAGTATACTTGGGGATACTGCCATGAATGTCTTTGTTCAGACACTTCCAGTTATCCTGTATGTCCCCTGTTACATGTACCCCTGGTGGCAATTAAAGTGGCCGCACAAACACACATTGCCCAGGCATGGTCCATTGCTGTCAATATCAAGATATTAGTGAGCTCAGACTCGAACCCAACCTGGTCGGAAACTGACCTCCTCAAAACCTGGAAAGGACATGGAACCACCTCCCCAACCAGCTGTGGGCTTGGGCATTCCCTGCCCCGTAGTTGCACATAAACAAAGAGGTGGAATGCTTGTGCTTAAATGTAATCTAGTTAGGGTTTTATCTACTTTAATGTTGTCACCATAGGTGTGTATTACATGGTATTATAGGAGACAAATTCTGGAAAAAAGGTATGTGCAAACAAAGTGCAGATTGCTTTTGTTATAAATAGATATACAGTATATGGATTATCTGTCTTTATGTAAGGTTTCACACTGAGGAAGAGTAGTTGAACTTCTCAAAATGGGTTGGTGTTTTAATAAAGGTTACTTGTTAAGTTGCTACTGTACCACTCTAGTCTTTATTCCCCTTGGACCATCAATCAGCTGCTTGCCCAACGGGAAGGTAAGCAACTGAACATCGACTACCCCACAAAAATGATCAGCCTCTGGAGATCTTGTCTCTGATGAGCAAAATTTTAAGCAAGCAAGAGGAGAACAATAAGTATCAGCATGTAAAGTGTTTACAATAATGAAACATGGTGCAAATGTGTTTGCATTACAAGCTTTAAAGTATACCTAGACTCTAGGCAAATAAAATCCCATACTAACTTTAACATGTTAATGTAATTTAGGACCCATTCACAAGAGAGCGTTAAAGTAAGCAATGCACTACTATTTTCCCTGCACCACAATGCTGCACTGCAACACATGGCCACTATTAATGATGGCAATACAGTACAATGTACCTAGCATATGGTACTGCACACTAGGTGCACTGAGCAATAGCATGCACTAAATGCAAGGTAACATGTGCTTAGTACAACAGTCCAATGTGAATGAGATTTACATGTAATTTCAGAAGAAATTTCACAAAGGAACGGTGAAAATAAACTTTTTAAAAAAAAAAAAAACAATTGCTTATGATACACGGTGTTTCAGCAAACCAAATCATTCATTTAGGGTTTACAACTACTTTTTAAGTAGAACTCCAGGCAAGCAGATACATACCCGCTAACGTGAATAATGCGCATTGCCTCACGTTGTGTTAATGCATACATTACTGCTACGCAACCATGCAAATGGGCTACCAAAAAGCAACATTGCTCCAGATTTCAATATTCCTTTATGCCGTGGGTACACCATGTGCCAGATATAGGAGCTTGTCCCAACTCCCTGCACCCCCAGTTCAAGAAGCAAAGGGCCACACACAAATTACATCACTTTCTTTTACAAAAACATTATTGGTCCAACAAACGTGTTGCAAGTCGCCACCTGAGAACCACCCCTTTCTTACACTTTTCACCCTTGCAACTTGTTTGTTGGACCAATAAAGTTTTTGCAAGAAGAAGTGAGCATCAGTGTGCAGCTCTATGCTTCATAGGCATGGTTGCTTACTGTTTGAGGCTCAAGGCAAGCAATCCCATTCATTTCTTTGGTCCCTGTTCACACCTGAGTGTTTTGTTGCAAGCAGAAAAAAGCCTGTCGCTGGAAAAATTACATGAGCTACTTTTTGGCATATTACAGTGCTTTTTGGTTCTATACCATTCAATGGGCAACTTCGTGTGGGAAAACGCTCAGGTGTGATGAAGGGCCATAGAAATTAATTTGATTCCTTTCCTTGAGTGTTTTGTTGCGCTTACCTTTGAGCGACAAAACACCTAGCTGTGAATGGGGACATGCGACTATATCTCTGGTAGTTAAAATATATATAGCCTTGAACTGGGAACTCTAGGCTTGCAGTCAATTGTTTTGAACAGTTCACTAATGAGCTCCTGGTCACAAAACAACAGTAAGTTTAGTGTATTTCACTAGTACATATTTAAAAAAAATAAGTCTAATATCCACGTAAAATGGGAGAACTAGCCTTACTTCGTCTTCCCAGCGCTCTCAAAATGTGTCTGCAGTCTCTATTGTAATATGTTAATAGGCCTGATGGTGCTTTAATCAGGAGACTTTTTGTTTGTTTGGATATTGCATCTTTCCTCACAACCTCCTGGACAGATAAGTGTAAAAAAACCAAGAAGTGAATCCTTATGTCTCCTGTGTGTATGTTCTTGCCAGGCTAGGATTAACAGCTTATCTAGGTATGTTCTGTGAATGGTTTCAGGACCTGAGCAAAATGTTTCATACTGAACACTAAAAATGCTGTCTTTCCCATCAGTGTGGGATTAAGTTCTGGAGAGCCTTTTTTTGCAACGGGGGACTGGACAGATAACAAGGATTAGCTGCTATGATACCCCAGGCCGCCAACAGCCCATTAAACTATATGAGCTATCAAAATTAGCCCTTTCAGTGCCAGACAGATGAAGTACACTCCGTAAAAGTAAGGTCATTACTCAGCATGTTTGAAGAGTAGTGAAATGGGTATAGGTTAATTGCATAAAAAGGAAATGGCATTGCATCAAAAATAAGGTAGAATATAAATTATGGCAATTGAGACGTTTATTAAAATAGAAACCCTACACACAATAAAACAGGCAGTAATGGGAACTCTGCCAGAAAGTCTTTGTGATGATAAGGGTGGGTGTAACTAGGCGAGGTAGTATAGGCCACAAGTCACCAATGTAAATGCCTATCTTTGAGGTGCTATGTTAGCCACTGGCAGCTAATGTTTATTGGGCCTCATATAAGGGGTAATATGATAAAGGGGATTATTATTATGCACAAAATCCAAGCCATTGAGCACCAATTTAAAATGCTGAGTACTGCAGAGAAAGGTCACTAATGATGGAGGACTCCGACCATCCTTTAGGGCCCAGTGGATAGTAGTTACAGCCGTGAGGAGGAGAAAACCCAATACACAAAACGTAGACATTTTATTAGTTTATTTGCCCTTGCATGACTGCTACCAGATGTTGTAGTAAAATGCAATGGGGGGCAAGATGCTATAATAAGAAGACACTTCAGGTAACATATAATCATATATAGGGGGGACAGTCACCCGGCGGGATAAGATATGCCGCCGGGTCCCCTCCTCTCTCTCCTGATACTGTCGGGCGTTCGGTCCATGACCGAGCGCC